AGACGATTATAGAACATGGGAGGCAATCGATTTCTTTGCGAATTACTTTTAACATTTGCTTTCTCTTTAGACAAAAGGCCACCAAGCTCAAGTCAACGCGATCTATTATACAAATGTCCAGAATGATGTCACATCGTTTGGCGGGAAAGTGTTGGATGGCAACCTCTGCTGGCTCGATAGCGATTCCTAGAGAATTACTAAATTTTTGGATGTATTATGCGGCTGCCGATGTGACTTATCACATTTTTAATTTACAATGATATTTGCTTTCTTTCGGTTTGTTTACGTCCTGGCTGTGAATTTCGTCGACAAATTTCATTTTAAAAAAGCTCTAATTTATCAACGCACGTAAGTCGCTGCCTTTTCATTTTGAAAACGGATCGAAGTAAATATTATCATGATAGCGATAATGTTAACGTGCGTATATAATAAAATGAGATTTATGCAACATTTGGTTCCATGTATTAAATACCCTCTCATCGGTTATGACAAGTGCCAACGAGTTTGCTTTGACAATGCTCTCGTGGCTCAGTGGTGAAGTCGCTTGCTTTTCACCACTGAGGTTCCCGTAAAATCTCCGTAGAACCACCTGTGAAATTTGTTACGACGAAACGAGTTAGCAAGCTGCACAGTGGCTAGACCCAACCTTTGTGAAGCATCCTAAAGCTAACCCCTATCCTTATTCCTTCCCAATCGTGGCCGATAAGTAGATGACGTAGCACTTGCGAGCGCGAAGACGCTACCTATCGGCGATCCCTTGACTTGGCTGACGGGACTTGACTACCCAGCGGCCTCTAGAGGGTGCTGGGTGTATCGTAAAAGAGGATTACTCTAAGTTGCGCTCAACGCTCTTAGGAGCTAGGTGACGCGCTGCGTGTATAGACGTAACATTTTTTTTTTTTTAATTCGAGCCCACATGTCATGTAGAAGTTACTTCTTCCATGTGTTATACAAACAATAGGTTTTTTAAATATTTATTTTTGAAATTTGTATTAATTATTATTGTTCAGAGAAATATCACATACGGGTCGCGGATCCAGCACGACCGCACACCCGATCTCATATTTTTTATAAACGACAATAACTTTGTTTGATATGTTGCAAAGATTTATTTGCCAAAGTTTCAACGGTTATCTACGGTTTCACAAGCAATAGATATGAATGGATAATTGGCGATTTTAGACATACTTAATTTTGTTTTACTCATAATGAGTCAACTTACCTCGCAAAATACATTAATTCTGAATTCAGTGACGGATGTCCGGGACAATATAAAAACTGACATAACATCTTGCGCTTATGTAAGCATAAAAAGTTGTATAGTATGAATGCTTTTTTGCTACGTCTCATGGTAAAACTGAGGACGACGGTGTGGGTGCTACTGTTAAACGAGAGACAGCCAAGGAAAGTATGCGCAGACCGTATATTACTGACATTGATCAGTTATTAGAGTTTTGTATAAACCACATTAAAAACATCCAGTGTGAAATTTTAGAAAACCTGAAGTTGATGAATATCGCAATTGCAACCCAAGTGAAAAAGCATTTACAGTTCCAAGCACACGCAACTTCCATGAGTTTGTCCTTCACTCAGACTGTATTGTACAATGTAAAAACATAAGTACTGAAGAAAATTGTTCTATGGTATTTGATTTAATTAACAAAAAATTAAAATAAATATCCCGTCAAATATTGTTGATTATATCTAACACACGTTAAAATTAAATAATATAATTTATGAATAAATTCAATTAAAATGATTTACACATTGTTATACTTTTTTTCGCAAATTCACCAATTTAACTAGTATGTAATAAAATTGCGTGTTTTAAAATGACACATAATGATTTCTCATTTAATTTCTATTCAGAAATATATAGTTTTCCATGATTTTAGCAAAAGAAATTAGTAAAATAAAATAGATATCTCTACAACCGTGTGCACCCAATAAAATCAATGAAAAATGGTTTCAGATACAATTCCTCACAAATAACGTTTAATATTATGAAATTATATCTAAAAAATACTTACATTGTTGTTTGATAAATTTAAAAATATGAGCAACATGATTTTTTTAATTTTTTATAAAAAATTACTTTTTTCAAAAAACCGGCATTTTGACTAGTAAAGACTAAAAATTTACAATTGAAAACGCTACAATAAATTTTTATATATTTGCATTCAGAATTAATGTATTTTGGTGTGTTTTGCGAGATAAATTGACTCATTATGAGTAAAACAAAATTAAGCCTGTCTAAAATCGCCTATTATCCATTCAAAATCTATTGCTTGTGAAACAGAAAATTATTATCGTAGAAGGCTGAAACTTTGGCAAATAAATCTTTGCAACATATCAAACAAAGTTATTGTCGTTTATAAATAATCTGAGATGATTGGGTGTGCGGTTGTGCTGAGTTCGCGTGGAATTACCCGTTCTGAAATAATCGTTTGGAAAAAATTCAGAGAGTTAATAAACAGTCGTAATTTTTCAAGGAGTGGAGGAACATTCAACGTTAAGTTAACCAGAATTTAATATAATTTAACTATTAAATTTTCAATGTACTAATTGTAATAAATATATGGTTGTTTAAAAATATAAATAAATATTACACTTTTCAATCTCTTCTTTTAATGTTTGCAGTTTCCTGTGTGGAATTCATGGCTGAATTTCAGTATTTAAATCACGAGCTTAAAATTTTGTTATCCCCTATGATTTTAATGTTACCATTTTTTATGAAACGTATTTTCAATATCTTTTCCTTGGGATTTTTAGTGAGCATTGAACATTTGCCATTTCTTGCAATAAAATTGGGACACAGCTTGATAGCCCTGGTCGCAGAAGAATACAGTTGATTTGGTGACCTATGTAATAGGGATTAGGTGACCTACGTATTTGGGATTAGCTTTTACACAAATAAAATCTTGAAGATCCGCAAAATTTTAGTGGTTCTTGCACGTCTTAATGCTGTGTTTGTACAAAACATTTAGGCAATGCAAGTAAATGACAACTTATTTATTTTGATATTTGCCCTTTAGTGAGTAATTTATTTTATTTCTAAAATGTGGGAAATCTACATACTTTTTCACGTGAAACATTCGAGAATGACAGGAAAAGTTAAGACACGTGAATTTTGAGAATGGACGGAACCTGTAAGTAGCTACTATTGACTTCAAATAGCCACCTAACTTTTCTTGCCTCAAAGCAGAAATCTACTTTTGTCCTCTTTGTTTCGAATGTGCTATAATTTTATATTCCTAAATTTTGGGAACTGTAGAGTATCTAAAATAATACTCAATTTTTCCTGCCCTCTTTTGCTCCAGTCCATAGGATCCATAGGATACAACTTGGTTATCGTGAAAATACCACTTTATTTTCGAGAAAAAAAGAACATCTTACTACGAGAAAGTGTACCTAAACAAAGCAAAAACCTTTTTACAGAGGAAAACCTTCAACAAATAATTATCACATTTTAATAGAAAATGGACACTTTATGTCGTGTTTTACCCATAAGTTCATGGCTTGTAGAAGCCTGCCGCTTGCCACCCAGAGGCGACGGTGCTGCCGCCCAAACTATTACTAAAACTAGAGCTCTAGAAGGATAATTATTAGCCTTTATAGAGACTTTACAGTGCTTACAGCCCTTTATACAGCTAAAAATACTAAAACTCACGTGTTCTGCATATCTCTATATAGATTTTTCCACACAAAGCAGATGGCACTGTCAATACCATCACGTCACCGCCACCTACAAATGGGTGGCGTTGGTCAATATATTTGTTATTTCCATCATGTGCGCGTCGTTATAGGACGAAAACACGGTGTAAGAAATACTTCTTACACCGTGCCCGAACAAGCCGAGGTAAGTACGTTTATGCACCGCGTGATGTCACTGAAGTTTAACAATACAGATTTGCTGCCAATATTTTTCGAATAACCCCATCATTCTTGCAACACCGGGGTTGGGTCTCCTAAAATCATCATTACAACGGTCTGCCCGAATATCGCGGCTTTAGTATTAATAAATATGTAGCGCGGACACTCCGTGTGAAGATTATTATTGTGTATGTCCTTGCGAATATGTCTAGATTCCTTCACTTTATATACCATAAGGGATAAACACTATAAGAAAATATAAATAAATAAGAAATCCATTATTTATTGCTGATTAAAAACCCTCCTGAAGGCTTCTAAGATTGGTAAAATGTTACGAAATTTCGCATGTAGTAGTTTTTGTAATATGCGGAAATGATTCGAATCGCATGACTGGGAACCCGGAATCGAATGTTCCGAGTCAGAATCAGATCCGCAGAACAATCGGTTACAATGTCATAAGCTGGTGAATAACCAGTGGTCATCAGAGAGTATATTATACGTGGTCATACACTGTTCATTGCTATGCTTGGCACCATGAATTGGCATCGTTTGGGTTATAGGAAATATTCCAAATTCATACTTGATTGACATCATTAGGCTCAGTTGCCAATGTATACAATGTGAGAACAAATTGTCACGTAAAGATGAGGCCAAGATCCTTGCAAAACCAACTGATGTTTTACTGCTTCTGAATTAAATGACTTGTCAAGGTGAGGAGGTGAACATTTCAATTGATGATAAATTGGTGATGATGTGACATGGATTTTACATCTTCTGTGGATTTTTACATTGGAAAGTATTATAATTGATTATTATAATAATTGATTTTGTACTGTAACAGTAAAATTTATTATTTTGCATCCATAGTTATAATAATTATTATTTTGATTATAATTATTACTATTGTTATACATTATTGTAAGATAATAAAATTACTATTATTAGATATTTTGATAATCACTAAGTGTATTATTGCTTGATAAATTAATCTAATTATTTCTTAGTAATAAAACAGAACTATTTAGTTATTCTGAAAAAGACTTTGCATGATACTTTTCTATTTATAAATAATCAAATTTTATTTTTCAACAAATGTTTAAATGGGTTGATTTTGTTTTGTTTTATAGTGTCATCATGGCTGATTATAATACATTCAAAAAGTCTGCTATCCGAGGTCAGGATGAGATTGTAACATGCCCATATGATCCATCTCACCAAGTTCTCAAGAGTAGATTACAGTATCACATTGTGAACTGCGAAAAACAACATGCTCGAATGGAATTGGAAACTTGTCCTTTTAATGCTACTCATCGTTTTCCCAAACCTGAAATTCAAATGCATATTTTTGAATGCCCAGATAGGCGAATCTTAGAAACGCACAAATTTCAGTTACAGGATGAGAGCCACATGAGTAGAAATAATCTCTCGGAATTTATTCGCCCTTCATTGCCACCAAGTGAGGAAAATTGGGATGAGGAAGATTATCAATCATCTTATGACCCAAGTCAACACATAAATAACAAATGTGTCCTTAGAAATATTCAAGGTGCCACTAAATCTCAACGCAAACAGTTCAGACAAGAAGAGCGAAGGAGACTCAATCAACTTAGTACTGGGAACTCAGAACCAGAGGTCTCAAATTCTGCGCATGTTCGTCTCCGGCCACCAAAATCCTTGCCAAAGGGAATAAACAACTTAGAACTGGGTGCCAGACTTGGCATGGGCCGTGGTTCAGTTCCATCTACTTCAGCTCATGATGCAGGAAAGTCACAGTCTGTTGGAAAGGTCAGTGGTGACAAACCACTGTGAGAGTTTTTAATGTTTTAAATTTTATGTTTTTATTAATTTTTACGAAGTCTGGAATTAAACTACTAGAAATTATTTAATGTTTTTACTTATTCAGTAAACTGTTTAGTGCAATAGTGCATGTCCAATTTAAGAAAAAATAGGTTATGCAACTTAAAATGCAGTGCTAATTATTTTATTTTGAAGGCATTGATCTTTTTCTTAAATTTTTACAGTATTGAAATTCTGGACGGATTGTTTTAAATGTGTTGAAGAAATTTACATTGGCAATTAGTTTCTCTTTAAGTTTTAATATTTATACTATTAGTAAGCCTATTGCACCAAAATAGATGACTGATCTCTATTGGTGCTATGTTTTTTAGGTGAATTATGATGTAATGAGAATAAGACTTCACATTTTTATTCTGTAATATTTACTCAGTTAATTTGATAAAATTGATCCTCTTTCTCTGAACAAAAAAATGTTCTGGATTTGTCTTCTCCAGAAACATTACCAGTCCAATTACCAAGTCATAAAAAATAGGTGTTCTGACGATAAGCTCTGCTCATGAACTAAAAGAATTTTTAAAACTTTTGTGTATGTACATGTGGATAGGAGACTATATAAATGGAATTTATTTTTATGGCATTTTTATCTTCGAGATCTAGCGTGAACTATGATGTACCTAAAGAATGCCGGAATGGAAGGGTATTCTATTAAAAGCTTAGTTCGTTGTTAGAGAGCTTGTCTTTAGTCTTGCAGAAGCTTAACACTTGATATAATTTCTTTCAAATTTTATTAATCTTGTCAGTTTATAAATACGGTAAAATCTAATTCAGAATCTGACAAAGCTGGAAACCTGCCTTAACCATAAGTCCAACCCATGAGGTTTAACGACATTTTATACAGCATTAAAAGGAACCTGTTCAACACAGAAACAACAGTTTTCATGTTCTACGGGCAAAAGTCTTTATAAAATGGAATTCCTGTGAATTTAATGTGGTTGGAAGAGAGACAAGAGGTACCCTTAATTAAAGGAATGCATTTGCAAGTCTGTTTTAAATTCTCTATCCCTGTTAAACGTGATTTATAGTTGCAGCAGCCAAACAGTGAAAAAGAGACACTTTAGTTTTCAGCATAGAATTCGGCCTTGGGGTCAATTATCTTAAGTCATAGGCTGTAGAAGAACAGCCATAGGAGAACAGTTCTTTTGAGTGTGGGAAGATTATGGGCAAGGCTTCTATTCACACATCTCTAAGCTCCGCATTGAAAATGATATCCCTTCGGCCAGAGAGGTATTGCTAAAGACTATGTGGCGACATCAGAAAGTCATAGTACTCTGGGCTGTGATGCATTGTGCATTGAAAGAGTCAGCAAGCAGTTTGCAGTCAGTAGGCAGTGAGGTGGTGTGTATTTTTATGAGTTTCACAACCAGTTTTAACAGTAGATGGAAAAAATATTAAACTCTAACCGTATATGAAAAGGTCAAACTTATAGAAGGATGAGAAACTCAGATGCTGTCTATGAATGTTTAATGTTCATTTATTGACGATTTCTTCCACAAGTATATATTTTAATAATTGTAGTAAAGTAATTAATTTATTAGTTTCAAGATGGAAATATCGGTATCACAAGGGTCATATAATGGACATCTCTGCATAAAATGGAAACCTCCCTAAACTGAAAAGTTTGTTTGTCCCGATCGATTCCATCTTAGACAGAGTTTACTGTATGTACAGAATGTTGTATGAAAGTGGCAGAAAGTGTGAGTATGAATTTATGTATCTAGATAAACATGTTAACAAAATGATGAATTGGTGTTGAATTGCATTGTAATTGCAATGAAAATATATCAAGTACCAGTTGTTAAATATTGGTTATTGTGTTGATGTGCATATATGTCTCGTTTATGCTATTACTGTGTGTTGTGAATATATTGAGTGTTATGGGCATTGTTTTATATCAGGGGTGTCCAACATGCAAGGCCTTAAGGGCCAAACTAAAACCTTTAATAAGGTTGCAAGCCACATTTTCATTACTCGGGCAATCCACACACGACCGCATATTGTGGATCTCAGAAGTTTGCCCGGCTGCTCTGAAACAGGAGGATGGAACCATGTTTAATATCAGGCTCTACTATGCATAATACAGTGAAACACATTGGGATGATTTTGAATTTCTGAGTTTCCTACAATAAAATCCTTAAATATAAACTGAACCTATTTTCATGTTAAGGGGGTGTTATCCCCATCAGTGTGCGTACGCTAGGTGCAATATTCTTGCCCAAAATGATTGCAAGTGACTTTCATGTTTGTCCAATAGCCTTTCATGGGCCTCAATTTTTTATTTGCAGCATGCAACCCATGAGCTGCCATTTGGACATCCCTGTTTTATATATAATGTTGGTGCACTAGAAAAGCTACCTTCTTGAAAATTGTCATTTTGTAGAAGCACAATTTTATTCCTCGGAATCGTTTATTTTGTGAACGAGGACAACTCTCTGTAATGTTTCGTTTACTCACTTAATGAATTTTTTCTTTTCTTTCTGAATATTTCTTCTTCTTTTTCTGTCATCTCTCCGGCTCTCTTAGTTTTGCCTTGGCTTCTTTTATTATATCAGCCCATTTTTTTCTATCTTCTGCTTTTCTTCGCCATCCTTTAACACCTAGGTTTCTCAAATCTTCCTCCACCTTACCTTACTCTAGGCCTGCCTCTTCCTCTCCTACAGGCCGTGCTCCCTGCGTATACCTTTCTAATGGCTCTCTTTCTTCACTCATTCAAATTAGATGATCGAACCATTCCAGTCTTTTCATCTTAATACTAGTAACAGTTTTGGGTGTTTTAAAAGTTTGACTTCTCTAGATTTCATTTTCTTTGGTCGGGCCAAATATTTTTCTCTACCATCTTGAAAAGTGTCGTTTTTTAGAACACTTTTATTCCTTCAGAGCCATTGGTTTTGTGACCAAGGACTATTTACTCTAGTGTTTTGTGTTCTACCTTCATGAATTTTTTTTCTTTTCTTTCTGATAATATACCTTCTTTTAAACATATTTCTTCACTTAACCCATTCATGTGTTGTGACATCTCTGTTATGTCATACCTTCTCATCGGCCTTACTGCCTTTGACGTCTCGGAGATGCAAGTGTGTCAGGTCTGCACACAGTACTCCAGTGACTGAAAAGGGAGTGATTCTATATATTTTATTTCTATTTACAGCTTATTCTGGTGTGTGTCCTGACATTGAGTTGAAATTTGGTGATCTCATTCCTAGTCCTTCCATAATGTTTAAATGGCATTTAAATCTTAAAGGGAAGGTTTGTGCAAAAGGGAAAATGCTGATGCGAATGGATCGTGATGGTAGAATTAAGCATTTTAAAAACAAGACTATAGCATTTTGCAACATTACAAAAAGTGAGATTTAAGATTTTATAGCAATTGTTGAGAAAATTATTAAGGGAGGGCCCTTTAAGATAAAATTGTTTTGATGCCTTTTAGATTTTCCCATTAAAATCAGGAAATACGGGAAACTATAGTATTTTGCCATTTGTTAACTTCAACAAATGTAAGTGTTAAGAGTAACATGTGCGACATAGACATATATGGCCTTCCTGTTTCCTGTGACCTCCGTACAGTGAACTTAGGAAGCTGAGACCACTTTGAGATGACCTTGAGCAATCAGGCTTTCTGGATCAGTTTTTTAAATTGTTTTCATTATTTTTTTACTTTGTTTTGTCAGTTAAATCTTTATTATAAATTAATAAACATGGACACTCAAAATAAATGTTTTCAAACATTGATATGTTGTCACGTCCCTAGTTAGAGAGCGAAAATGAAGGAAATCATAAAATGCAATTATGCAATTATTTCACAGATTACAACCATTTTATACATTACCCATGATTTCACATTTTATCACAGATTGAAAACCTTCAAAAATACTCTGCACTGGCCATCGAACGTACAATTACTAATTGTTTCAACATTTACTAACATTTCGCATTTTTAGTACTTGATAAAATCTTCCATTTCTATGAGTGGGTTAATTAAAACCAAACCAATCATGATTGTATATGAATTTTATATTTTTATAACACAGTGATATTCTCTAATATTAAAGGCAATAAACCAAGTATTTGTCAATAGAATTATTTTATTGGTATAAGAAGGCAACTTTTGACCACCTGATGATGCATCCACATTGTGTTGCAAAATATTTTCTATAAGAAAATTTATGCCAATAAAATATTTTGTTCATATATCTCTAAAATGACAATTTTTTAGATGTATCTCTAAATTTGTGCACCAGCACAGTTTTATTAATTTCTTTTCAGCTATTTTGCTGGGTGTATCTTAGTAGATTAAATATGGCAATTTAATGTATTTGAATGGCTGACATATGTTTTGAATAGGAATTACAAAATTGTTTTTGTTGTAATTTTAAATATTGGTTGTTTTTTAAATTTTATTTTGTGAGTTTCTTATTATTATAGATTACATTTCAAGTAAGATAACTTTTGCAACTTTACTAATTTTCGATGTGAGCAAAAATTGAAAGGAAACTTTGCCACCTCTGTCAATGGGAGAGATTTTTATTGGATATCCAGGAACTTGGGGAAAATCCGAAAGCGTTTAAATAGTTTTGATTTTTACTGATTATTGCCAATATTTGTTTGTATTTATCTATCGTACTTCACGTACCAATTGAATTCCCCTTGGCCACCTGCTTGCTATATTGCTATACATATGTGTTAAGGAACACAACCATTTATTTTCTGGGTATGCAGAGAACCCTTGATATGTATATTTAATGTACTACATTATTGCAGTATTCCTGACAGGTTTTTTGTTCAAATACTTCATTTATTTTTGCATTATTTGTTCTTGAGCAGTGTGAATGCTGCTTTTTAGAAAATGTTTTTGCAAGGTTATGTTCAGGTGCATTGTTACTTCTGCAGGTCTCTACTTTTATTTTTTAAAATGTATTACAGAATGTTTTTTTTTTTAATATTATATGAAAAAAGGCTTATTCTCGAATGATTTTGGATTGAATCTACCAAACTATATGATGACCTATGAGACTATATTTACCCAACCATAAAACAAACGCCCTATTTTGAAGAACCCTCTTGAGAATTTTTCATTTTTAATCAATTTTAACTGTCAGGTCCAATAAAATCACAGTTTGTCATATTGACTAGAAAATTGTCTTGTTGAGAATGGAAGTCTTTTTGTTTCTATTAACTGCATTTTCTTCTTTCTTAATATCTTTAATCATTGACATCTTTCCTTTGTTCAGTCTTCCTCACGTTATAGGTCATCTTCTGACATCTTAGATCCGTCTGAAAGTTTTGTTTGTTGAATTTGCATTAATTGTCTTCCAACTGACTCATACAATGAGATAGTTTCTTGACAGGAGAAAGTCATATTATAAAATGACCTCATATTTTTTGAA